AAAAAAAAATTGTGGGAATAATTGGGGGATTATTCGGTAATTGTGAAAAATATGAGAATCCAGAAACATGAAATTGTTTTTGAGTATGCAGCATATGAAAGAGATAAATCAAGGTTAAATCATGATTTATAGCTGAAAATGTATAATTAGGAAAGGGTAAAGTCATCAAATGTATAATTAGGAAAGGGTAAAGTCATCAAGAGATCTTTGAAGTATATTTAAAAGTTAAAAAAAACAGGATTAATTAATATAATATCATATATTTATTTATGTGGTATTTTTTTTTCTTCGCTTAAAATGGTTTTAATGCAGAACTCCTATCCAGTAGGTGGTGGTGGACTGGCCATCTGGCAATTCTGGCAAATGCCAGAAGGGCCGGACCATTTTGTAAATGTGGGCTGATCAGCTATTTTTTATTTTTATTTTTTAATGTATTGCTTTTACATGCAGGCAGCTTTTATCTCTTGCAAGATGTGAGTATTAATATGATGATGATAATAGTAATAATAATAATAAATGTTAAGCATTGGCCCAATTGACAATGACCGGCTGGTCAAGATGGACAGACCCAATTAGAGGTTACGCAAACGTAGTCAAATTGTGGCAAGAATGTCAAAAAATAGTAAGTGCAACACAAGCTAATTGTCAGAAATGGACCATATAAAAGGAGGGCGGTGATGAAAGAAAAAATTAAAACCCTGCCAAATGCCTAAAATTTACTGAAATAGTCTCGAAAGAGAGCAGCGCAGGGGTGCAAGAAGGTTGCTTTTACGAGCCTCGGCTGGGTTAGTTGGTGTTTCTGTGTGAAGTTTGGACGTTCGCGTGGGTTTCCTCCTGGTTTCCCTCACAAGTCCAAACACATGTGCTGTAGGTGAACTGGGTAGGCTTAATTGTCCATAGTGCATGTATCTGAATGTGTGTGTATAGAGGTTTCACAGTGGGTTGCACCTTGGAGGGCATCTGCAGCGTAAAACATATGCTGGACAAGTTGGTGGTTCATTCCGCTGTGGTGATCCAGATTAATAAAGGGAATAAGCTGAAAAGATAAAGAATGAATGAAACGATTGCATATATAAATTTGTTTTTGTTCCAGTCACATACATTAAAGGTTTAAATATCTATTACATATATGGTACTGCTTATATTATTTCACCATCTGTACACCAATATAAGTAGTGAATGTGCGTGTCCGTGCATGGGGCTGTGTCGGTGTGGTAATGTGGGCTGGTATAGCAACAGTGCCAGGACTGATTTTTAGTCCCAGTCCGCCCCTGGCCTACCGTCATTACGTAACCTCTATTCTATGAACGCAGATTTTACTCCGGTCGCCACTTATCTGTTGACAACAGTCTAACTGCATATGAAGACTTGATCATGAGTATGTACGAAAATGGACACACAGATACTGAAATTTCGTATCATTTATCGGAGCTAGGAATGCAGAGGGGGAATTCAGAACTCAATTTACGAAAATGTCGTTCTAAAAGAGGCGTTAAAAGAAAAAGCATCTCAGACGAGGAATTAAAGTTGGCGGTTTCAAGGGCAGTTATAGAGGTGAGTATTTTCCCTAAATGCTTTAACCTTTTTAAGAATTGAGCCTTAAAAATCTCATCTGCTAAACAGTATAAACCAGCCTAAGCTGCCTGAGTTACCAGGTAAATTCAACTTGACGAGCCTGTTTTAAGATGGGTATAAGTTTTGGCTGGTTCACTAAAAAAGTTAAAAGCAAATTAGGTTAAATGTTATATGTACAATATTGTTTAACGAATAAAAACACTATTTACTAATTTCTTAAAAAGATATTGACCTTTATAACAGCAATGAATTATATTTACTTAATATTCTTATGTCATAATAACTATTATTTTTTTCCTATTTTATTTACAGACAGGACCGTATTATGGCCGCAAAATGATGACAGGCTACCTTGCTGCACAAGGTGTGCAGGCAGCAGAGGTTGGAGTGGGACAGATATCAACACAGATGCATGAACCATATCACCGGGCTCGATGCCAGGGATGTTGGATGGCATGATGCATTTATTTATAATGTAAAACACGTCATCTTGTCTTTGCATGTAAATGATTATACAGTGTGGAATCATGCATCAGTGTATTTCGTAACCAGTCTTCATAAAAGTTGAAAGTTGAAAATATATTGTACTTTTAGACTGCAATAGTACAGGATGTGTAAAGTAGTCTTATGTAGTTCATACTTTATTATTTATTTAAATCCAGTCCCATACAACGCAGAGTATGTAGGTCACAAACTCCACATGGACCAAAATGAGAAGCTTTGCATGTTTGGAGTCACACATGTTATCGCTATTGATGGCTTCAGCAAGATAATTGTTGGCCATTCCACGACGCCAATTAAGAACAATTTAACCATTTATGAAGAGGTGTACAGGTAAGAATAAAACAATCTATTTTCCAATGTTTGTTTTTTTTTCTATCTACACTTTTGAACGACTGAATAAAGTACAGTTACACATAATTACTACAGTTATTACAACTTCAGCCCTAGATGCATAAATAGCCTATTTATAAGAAGTTGCGCTCTCAGAACTAAGGCTATTCATCATGTTAAATACATTTTAATGAATCACAAATGCCAAACCAAATGCAGGGATATGTTTGTCTACTGCAGGGGTTTTCAAAGTGTGAGGCGCGCCTCCCCTGGGGGGCGCCAGAGCATGTCAGGGGAGGCGCGGGAAAAAAATAATAATAAATATATAATTATTAAGTTTAATTATTATATGTATTTTTTATTATATTTAAAAGTTTTAATTAAACAAAGCTACAAAAATAATACGTCAAAAATAAGAAAACCTTTTTTACCCAGAAGGCCATAGCTGTGAATTCGCTTCTGTTCGGCAAGCCCGCCAATACAGGTATATGCCTGCTAATACAACGGATCGGTTTCTGAGACCCCCCGATTCAAAGCCTTCAAGTTCAGGGCTTAAACCCAAAAGACGACGATATGATGATCAGTATTTGAGTTTAGGATTTACGTGGACAGGACCAGCTCATGAACCACGACCTTTATGTGTGGTTTGTCAAGATATTTTGGCTAATGACAGCATGAGACCCGCTAAACTTCGACTGTTTTGACTGGGATGGACAGTTCTTTGATCTGTTCTATTCATATTAATCATCATCCTAGTTTTAAAAGTGTTATATTAAAATACTTGTTACTCTGTAAATAATTGCACTTTCATGCAAATGATGATAAAAGTGAGTTAACAGTCTGACATCTGTCTGTGTCTTTATATATACTGTGTGTATATACATATATATATATATATATATATATATATATATATATATGTGTGTGTGTGTGTGTGTGTGTGTGTGTGTGTGTGTGTGTGTGTGTGTGTGCGTGCGTGCGTGCATGTTTGGGAGGAGGGGGGCACCAGTGGATAAGTTGTGTCAAAAGGGAGGCCCACTGTCTTAGACTTTGAAAAACACTGGTCTACTGTATCATTTATTAAAATATTGTAATTTTTTTTTCCCAATACTTGTTAAATCATCAAACTGACAACATTTTATAGTGTGTAACATTTTTACATAGTGTACTTTGCTTTAACTCCATAAAACCACTCTGTAGAGAGAATGTGTCCTGAAGTAATAAGTGGGTCAATTGTCCAATCAAGAGAGCACTCATTCAGATGGTTGACCAGGAGTCTTTGGATAAGGAAGATGGGTTGACAAGATACTGTTTGTCCAACCTTACATGCCAGATCAGCCAGATTGGGGTGCAGAGATTTGTTAATGCATGGAACATTATTAACATCATTATATTACAGCTATGTTACAGTGCCTTAACATTTGTTTAGACCAAAAATTGATGAACTTTTCTACATTTTGCTGTAAATCCACCTATGACTTGACATCACACACGTATAACTACCCATATACACGCAAGTAAGATCCTGCAAGACCACTTCCTGTTGTTTATCTTTAAATCTAATCCTCATTCATTCATTTTCTTGTCGGCTTGGTCCCTTTATTAATCTGGGGTCGCCACAGCGGAATGAACCGCCAACTTATCCAGCAAGTTTTTACGCAGCGGATGCCCTTCCAGCCACAACCCATCTCTGGGAAACACACACACATTCATACACTACGGACAATTTAGCCTACCAAATTCACCTGTACCGCATGTCTTTGGGGAAAACCAGAGCACCCGAGGAAACCCACGCGAACGCAGGGAGAACCTGCAAACTCCACACAGAAACACCAACAGAGCCGAGAATCGAATCAGCGACCCAGCGACCTTATTGCTGTGAGGCGAACGTGCTACCCACTGCATCGCCTAAATCTAATCCTTCAGGAGAATATTTACAGGAACAGTAGGTATCTATGACCAGGGTGAATTAAGAGTGAACCAGGATTTGCTTTAATGTAAAATCAATAGTTTATTTTATTACCTCAAAACTAAACCCTTGATTTCAAGGTAAAGGCATCCCCAATCTGCTGGCAAGAGATGGCTGCAAAACAAGGATTGTCGAGGAACTTTTGCCGAGGGCTTCAGAAGCTGCTGAATTGTACCATCAGGAAATGGGACAGCGTTTGAACAGGTCGTCAGCATTTGGCATTGACCCATTCCGGTCCGAGGAGGATAAAATTAGGGCAGAGACAGAATTTAACTCTCTTTATTTTGACCTTGGAGACGTCTTGAACTACACTGTGAATGAGCATTGCTCAAGACTGTTTAACTCCGCTAATTAACATCACCAGAAGATGTGCACAGATATAACCCAAAGAGGTGCAAGAATAAATTTCTCAATGTTATTGTATATATATTTTTTAATACTGTAATACATATGGTGTAGTCTACTGTAGCATGCACTGTATTTAATGCAAGACCAGCAGTTATAGTAACTACAGTAGTTAAATTAAAATAAGTATTCTGCAAAAAATGATTTGAGATTGATTTGTATTTAAGCATACTGCAAATGAATTAAGCATTAAGCAAAACGTACTGCTGATGACAAATTCAATGAAAGTTTTTTTATTCTCAAACATGCCAACAGAATGTCTTTAAATCACAAACTGTATGAAAAAGGTGGTAATAACACTAACGTACTGTATTGTGTAAACTGCATATAAACATGCATACAAACTAATACATACATTTGAAATGAGGGGGTTGGGGGAGTTGGCTTTAGCTTAGCATAGATCATTGAATTAGATTAGACCAATAGCATCTTGCTAATAAAAAAAAAAGTTCTGACTTTCCTATTTAAATTTTGACATTTGTCATCACATTCTGTAGTAAGACCAACAGAAAATTAAATTGTTGTTTTCAGGCAGATATGGCTCGGTTCTGTACACATTCCAGTTTAATTTTGAAAGTATTTTGCTGCCATACCATGGCTGTAGCTAAAGAAACGCAAGCATTTGAAAATTGTTCCCAGCTAGGTAACAGCATTGCGTAATATTACACCTGTTACAATCATGGAGCAGCAGCAAAGTTCCTTGATTACACTGAAAGAAGACTACAGATCCTAGCCATATCAGACTAGAAGATTGACAAAATGAAAAGTTCCCATCTAGAACAAAATGCCACAACAGAAGAGTCAAGCTTTTAATAGGTAAAGCATTAAAAAAATGCAAATGGCCAAACCCAATTAAATGATTCCTTCTAATCAAATGTGCTCTTGCCAGACCCAGAAATCAGCTTATAGGTTCAGTTGACAGCTTCAACATGAGTTGTACTGTTCGTCTAAGGCCTTAATGACACTTAGGACCTCAGACAAGCCAGCCACAACCACAATAGAATCTCCTGACACTGCAGACCTGCATTTTATACAGGCTTGGCCCTCGTCCACTATTGCCTCTATGCATTGTCAACAGCCAATAAGGCTACGGCAGCACCGTGACAAGACAGGACTGTCCATCACTCCTGTAATAAACACACACAGAAAAATATCATTAATCTGGAACTTTACATAGTTCTGGTTCATACTTCACACAGCTCTTATGGTCAGGGCTGGATTAAGAACACATTGAGCCCTGGGGTTATAGCAAACCCAAGGACCCCAATTTACTTTACTGGCTCACAAAAGTAGTTTTTTTTTTGCTATTAATTTTTTGCTAATTGATATTTTCATCTAATTTTCCACTATTTGATTTATACTGCATTTGATTATTATAAATGTCTGTTGTAATGCTGTTTTTGACCACTGGGTGGAGTGGGGGTTTGGAGGAGTATATAGGTAGACAAAGACTTGGAACAACAGGTGTGTAATTAGAGGGAAGCACAACCTTTTTTGACCGTGTTTGAAAGAGCTTCATGGAGGCATTCAATGTGATTTTTATGAGCATTTTTATATCAGACTGTGAGTGGAAATTGAGCCATGAGAACTGCCTGTGCAAAAAAATAAACCTGATATGCAGTATTTGGAAGATGATTCGTTTGTTGAGATCTCACGCGTCAGAAACAACCCTACAACACGTCAAGTGACAAAATGGTCATTTGTGTCACTACACATTGCTTAATATAAGAATGTTCAGTGCATTTGCCTGTCTCTTTATAACTATTTTCAGAAGCCACCAAACTATTTCAGAGGTCATGGAGACCTTGAGTGGAACTGAGGGCTGAGGACTGGAAGCAACTGTTTCTATTGTTATTTCTAGGAGTTAATATTGTCTAAAATGTCTAAAGTGATTTTGCCATTTGTACGGTAAAATCTTTTAAAGTGATTCTACTTTTATTCAAGATAGACTTTGTATAGTAAGAATATAACTGCCTGAATGTAGATTATACCGGTTTTTAACCAGTTTCGATAAAGACGGCTGAGAGTACACTCAGCCTTGGATAAGAAACAGATAGAATGATCTAAACGCATTTGCTGAAGCTGTAAACTGAAGCTTTGTCCATCATTTGATCAGGCAATAGCAACACAAATAAGTGCATTGTTGTTGGTGTTTGTTCTTCAGAGAAAGTGTTGAAATAATGGTGTAAAAACAGAGTCAATACCTGTGTTTCTCTGAGAGAGAGTCCTTTACTCGCTCCTCTGCCATACTGCAGCTAAAACACCAATGCAGACATTAGCAGAGCTTTCAGGAAACAATCAGCCGCTGACCATCACCTGGAGATGACAATATACTGAGATGAAGAACAGCACACTTTATAGCAATCAATGCTCACTTCACTAACAACACCGCACTCAAACACACCACACGATGAGGGAGAACACTAACAACACCTTACTGAAACAGACCACATGATGAGGGACAACACAAACTGACTTTCAGCCATTTCACTGCAGATATATATACACTGATCACATTAGTTGGTTTTACCCCTGTTTTGACACCTCAGATATTTCAGATTTGATCATTTGATATGTGTTTGTCATGATAACTTCCCCTTTAGACAACTATTTATTATTTTAATTAGTTATTTGCTGTGTTAGTAGTCTGTTAGTGGTGAAACGTCACCAGTTAAACGCAGTTTAAAGATCATCCGCATTCTTCCTGTTTACGGAAGATCTGCTTTCACTTTCGATTTCCTGACTCTGTTTAAAGTTTATTTTGTGCTGAATGATGTGAAATTATCGAGTCAGTCTGATATAGAAGAGCACAAACACTTTTAAGGGATAAAAATAACCCATTATTCTGTTCAAATGACCGTGTTTTGACCGTGTTTAATTGGTGTTTGAGGCTTTGAGCTTCAGGAGCAGACAGTGCTATAAATCACGCATATAAACACGCTTATACACATATAAACCCTTCATCATCTCCACAAATCAGCGTAATGTAGAAGTGTTAAACTCACATGCAGAAGTACAGACGCTCTTGTGCAGCAGGAACACGATGTGAACTCGTTTGACGCATTCGGTTTGTCAACTTCTTCTTCAGTGTTTTGGCGGTTGTCAAACTTAAATGCGCTTTACCGCCACCTGCTGGACTGGAGTGCGGAGCAGGAGTCTGACATGGAGAGAAACACGGGGAAAACAAACCACACTATAAAACCAAGGTAAAACATTGCTGCTTAAATAAATAAAGGGGAATTATTGTAGCCTCCACATGTTGACTCTAGTATATTTCCCAGAGTAAATGTAAGATTATATCTAATAAATACTTCTCTTAATATTTGTCTTTTGTATTGATAATCTTGACATTCTGTTATTACATGCTGCACATGTTTCACACTGATTACTATGTGAGTATAAGTCATGTGTGTGCTTCCCTATAAACACAGTGTCTTGTTTAGTTCTGTATGTGCTATTCTGAGGCGGTTATGACCATTTACCATTTGGATTGTATACAGATGTCTTCCTGAGTCATTTATATCCCAGTGTTCCTGCCTTGTACTCTTTGTCTGCATCTTTATTATAGTTTTGACTTCAGCTTTAGTTAATTTACCCTGAATGTCTGTGTGTGAATAAGTTTGTGTACTAGGTTTCACCTGGAAGGGCATCTGCTGTGTAAAACATACTGGAATAGTTGGCAGTTCAGTCCACTGTGGTGACCCCTGATAAATAAGGGATTAAGCCGAAGGAAAATGAATAAATTAATATATACAGTATATATACACCTTGTGTCCTAATCTATCGTTATTAACTTTTATCCCTAATGTGTATTCTGTTTCTCTTCATGTCCAATATTATTTAAATATTTAATCAATTTCCTCCTCTCTTGCATATATTTCCTCAATCAATATACCGTTCTACCATTTCTCTAACTCTACAGTGACCACATTTATCATTTTCTTTACCTTCATTAATGCCAATGTTGAGTTTAGTCTAGTGCAGGGGTGTCAAACGTACGGCCTGCGGGCCGGATCAGGTCAACAAATGGGTTTAATCTGGCCGGCGAGATGATTCTGTAAAGTATAAAAATGAGCTGAATAGCAAACCACAAGCTGTTCATTTCATCTGATCCTGAATCAGCGTCAGTTTGATAGCCTTCTCAAAGAGAAAGACCACATCTATGCCCTGCTGTACAACACGTCGGTATTCTCACGAGGAAACGTAACTATTTCAGGTTTTGTCAGTTTAGTGACTGATTCATACGAGTTCAGTTGTACGAAAATGTCCGATTTTAAAAATCAGGTGTGTCACCTAACTCCACCCCTAAACCCAATCCTCATTGGTTGATTAGCAAATTGTACCAAATTGTATAAATAAGATTGTACTAATTTATACGAATTATCCACTAAATCAAAAAGTTACGAATTGCTGCAAGCTTGTGTTGCAGCATAAGATAGTTAAGCCGAGGTGCTGGGCTGAGGCGTTTCTTTGGTTTGTGAGAAGAAATTGAGCTGTTTATGGAAGGAAAGGACAAACCAGTGTTAGAGTTTCATTTGGTAGAATGTAGGCAGGACCTTTCATTCATAGTGGATGTTACAGAGCACTTCCTGAAGCTGGCTGCAACTCAGCATGTGACGCCTGATATTGATGCACTGGTGAAAACTAAAAGATGTCAGGTGGCAGGGCAAATAAGCTATGCAACCCCACTAAAGTGCTGCATGAGACACCCTGATATGTGAAACAGTTGTGTGAATCTCTGAGGCATTGTGTGTTTGTGTGATTTTCTTCTTTAGAATCTTCTAATAAATGTAAGGTGTTCATGATTAATGTTGATGTTGTGCTTGTTCTGTTTTCAACACACTCTCCTCGGGCTCCAGCTTTATGTTGATCATAATAAAACAAAGAAAACAATCTGAAGTTGCTGTTTTTAAGTTATATATTGGGCGGAGCAGGAGGGACGACCCAGGGAGGATGAGAATGGGACAGAAAAGCAGGCGGCCCAAGGACAGCTGGCCAGACTAGAGGAGTCTATAGGGAGCCAGCCAGACTGAAGGCCTGTAGGGTGCCAGCTAGACTGGAGACTTGTGCAGGGCTCGAAATTAACTTTCTTACTTGGTATCACCGGTGCTCCCAACCTGAAATATTTAGGAGCACCAGAAAAAATGTAGGAGCATCCACCAAAAATGAATGAGCACCGCTGCAAATTGTATATTAAGGGATTTATTGTATTTGAAAACAACATCATTTAGGACTAACAAAACCCAGAAACAACTATCTAACTAATGCTGTGATGATTTAATATTGGTGCAATAATTCCAAAATGAATGTCTAATAATTATAAAATATTAATGATGACGATGATGACAATAATACTAATAATGGATTATATTTCTCATCATCATGCTGCCTTGAATGTGCTTTAATGTAAGTTATCTGCTATATAAAGTCTGTTCCTTTATGAAAAATAAATTGATGGTTTGCATCAAACACAAATGAAGCATTGCAGTAAGAAATATTTATTTTGTACTGCTGTTTTTATATGTGTGTCAATTTAATAAATAATATTTCTGCTACAAAACAAACGAAATATTATAATAAATCATTCAATTCAATGCTGAAAGCTGCACAGCGGTCATCAGTAATTAAATAGAAACATAATAAACACCTCAAGAAAGATCGACAAAAGAAAGGAAGAAAAGTCTCACTTATAAAAGTTTTGGTTTGGGTTCGTGTGGTTTTAATGCTCAGCCTCGTTACACGCTGAATTACATCTTTCTGTGTTTGCAGGAAAGCATGCGAGTCAATAAGAGGGGGGCAGAGCAGGATTCTCCCGATGACCACCGGCGCAATACTGCTCTCTGTTATAACCCGCATCAGTTTAAACTCAGTAAAGGCGAGCTTATTTGGCGATGGTCTTTAGCGGACATTTGCATTGTTGCAGCCTGATCTCACGAGGAAACGTAAGAAAATGTTATGAACTGCCGTGAGATTGTGTTGGCTGAACACGCAGCGCATGCAGCGCATCGAGAGTCAGTGCACTTTTCACTCTTCAGCCGTTTGCATTTGCTGTGGTCATAAAAGCTCCCTCCCTGTCATCTGACAGCGGACAGTCTCGAGTGATTGACAGCTAATATGAACCAATATAGATGCAGGGAAGAGCGATTTTACCATGTTAAAAAAAAAAAAAAAAACAGGTCGCACTACAACCATTATATGCAGTCGCATGAATGCCCCCACATATATATATTATGAGGTCGCATAACTTAAATTTGGGGCGCATATGCAACCAAAATGGTCGCAATTTCGAGCCCTGTTGTGGGAGGCCAGCTGAACTGGAGGACTTCGGGAAACCGGCAGGGCTGGAAGCTTGTGGAAAGCAGGCAGGGCAAGGCGTCTGGGTGGAGCCGGCAGGGCTAGGAGACGGGCTGGGGCTGGCAGGCCAAGGTGTCTGGGTGAGAGCAGCAGTGCAACAAGCTGGGCTGGGACCGGCAGGGCTAGGAGCTTGGGTGGCGCAGACGCTGAGCTGTGCTTTGGGACAGGGGCAGTCACTAAACGGCGCTCTGGGGCTGGAGCCGACACTGCAGCAGAGGCCTTCTTCAACCTCTGCTTCTGAGTGCAGGTCAGGGTGCTGGTGATGGTGATAAACAGGATAACAAGGAGGGTGGGAGAAGACGCTAGACAACAGAACACATGGTACAAAAACACAACACAAGCCATGTGCTCACACACAAACAGCACTAGAACACGCAGCCAATGAGAGAGCCGCATGCTCACACGAAACAAGGCACTAAAGCACGTGGTCATGATGAAAACATGAAACCACATGCTACACAACACAAACACAACAGAACACAACACAAACACAACACAAACACAACAGAACACAACACAAACACAACACAACAGAACACAACACAAACACAACACCAACACAACAGAACACAACAGAACACAACACAAACACAACACAAACACAACACCAACACAACAGAACACAACAGAACACAAGACACAAGCACATTGTCACGATGAAAACATGAAACCACATGCTACACAACACAAACACAACAGAACACAACACAAACACAACAGAACACAACACAAACACAACACAACACAACACAACACAAACACAAACACAACAGAACACAACACAAACACAACACAAACACAACAGAACACAAGACACGAGGACACGATAAATGAAGATACTTACTGTGCGCTCACACATGCGACGTGAATGTTCCCTTCCAGCGCCATCCGAAACCAACTAGACTGAGACGCTGAGAATGAAAATCACGCTGCAGATGACACAAACACACACACCGGGACCAGAATAATAATAATAACTAGAATTGTACATTTCCTAAAGGAAATGTGAATGGGGTTTGCGTGGCAAATCGATAGGGTACAAAATGGTACTAAACTGGGCAAAATAGCAGTAAATGTGGAGAAATGGTTAAATTCATGTGTTTATGTGGTTGCTAGGGTAATGTAAATGGTTGCTAGGGTGTTGCTAGGCGGTTGCTAAGGTGTCCTAAGTGGTTGCTAGGTGGTTGCTAAGGTGTTGCTAGGCGGTTGCTAGGGTGTTCTAAGTGGTTGCTAGGTGGTTGCTAAGGTGTTGCTAGGCGGTTGCTAGGGTGTCCTGAGTGGTTGCTAGGTGGTTGCTAAGGTGTTTCTAGGTGGTTGCTAGGGTATTCTAAGTGGTTGCTAAGGCGTTGCTAGGCGGTTGCTAGGGTGTCCTAAGTGGTTGCTAGGTGGTTGCTAAGGTGTTGCTAGGCGGTTGCTATGGTGTCCTGAGTGGTTGCTAGGTGGTTGCTAAGGTGTTGCTAGGCGGTTGCTAAGGTGTCCTGAGTGGTTGCTAGTTGGTTGCTAAGGTGTTGCTAGGCGGTTGCTAGGGTGTTCTGAGTGGTTGCTAGGCGGTTGCTAGGGTGTTCTGAGTGGTTGCTAGGTGGTTGCTAGGCAGTTGCTAGGGTGTTCTGAGTGGTTGCTAGGTGGTTGCTAAGGTGTTGCTAGGCGGTTGCTAAGGTGTCCTGAGTGGTTGCTAGGTGGTTGCTAAGGTGTTGCTAGGTGGTTGCTAGGGTATTCTAAGTGGTTGCTAAGGCGT